TTCGGGTTCTTGACGCTGCAGCCAGGCATGAGCTGATTTTGTTCGCTGTTCCTCTTGGGGAGTATTTTGCTCTTTAGCTCCTCTAAAATAATCTTCGTGACTGGTTTTTTTTTTTTTTTTTTTGTACACTTTTGGAGTGCGTTGTTTGGTTTTGCGAATAGCCGATTCTAAGCGATGCGATGCGACAAAAACACCGCGGAAGCATTTCAGCCACCGGCTCCAGAACAACAGACGATCGCTCCCGTATCCTTCCTGGTTACTTTTTTTCTTTCTTTCGCTCTCCCCTTTCGTCGCTCTTTGCTGGCCCACGAAAGCATTATGTGTGCCGTTCTGATCCTCTTTTTGTCGACGTGGACAGACCGGGGCATCGAGTTACTACCATTATACATCTACCTGACGCAGACGGCTCCCCCGTTGTGGAATCGTTGAGAACAGTCACCTGACACTTATCTCTCTCTTTCTTTCTTTTCTATTTTTTTGTACTTGCTGTTATACAGACTTCTGCACGTTTCCGAAGGAAAAATAAGAATTGATTACAGTTTCAGTTACTTTCGGTCATAAAGTATTCTACCAGATCACTTCTTTACTCGACGCCATAGGTAACCGATATTTCCTATTACTTTTCGAAGTCGGGTGGTTTATTGCGGCTCATTTCGCGTGGGTATTCAGTTAACAATAGCACAGGTGACTTAAGCCTTTGTCTGATACATTTGATTGGGAGAACGGGCTATTGAAAAACAAATCATGAGCCATTTCCCTCTGTGAACGTAGATGACCAGTGAAGTTGTCTAGCACACGACACAGACCCGCCTGGGACGACGACAAAGAGAGGGCGGTGCGAGCGTAGACATGGTCGACGCGGGTCGCACAACGGGAGATCTTTGAGAAACCTTTATTATCTAACTGAGAGTCTACTGATCTTGAAAAGGGTGCCTATTAATAACAAATCTATTGAATATACCTATCGCTAAATTACCCATTCACCAAGGAGAATGCATGGGAATGGTGTTCCACGCGCCGCACGTGCCGGCGTCTACCAGTAACTTCTAAAGCAAAAGATGGCATCTTGCACGCGCGTTTGTCAACGCTTTATTTTGGTTATTTACTTGGAATCTTTTATGCGGGCGCGTGCGGCAGTGCGAGCGTAGAGTTTTTGGTCACGCACAGGAAAACTCCACGGAACCCTAGCCATGAATAGCTTCGCTGTAAAAAGTATACCAAATAGATTTAGTTCTAAGCGTGGAGCAATCTCGAGTGGTCAACCTTGTTTGCTGCTCCTGTTGCACGCTCGGTCGCGCGTCACACGCGCTTTCTGCGGATCGTACGAAGTATTGGCGACTGCGTTCACGTATTTTCTATCTACGTTTCTTTGTACACTACGCGACACTCAGCGCGAACACGACATCGACGCTCTTTCGCCTTTTACATGGAAATGGCATTGGCGCGGAGTGGTGCTCGCGCGCGTGTTTAGTCTGGCTTTACTTTATGTTTTTACCTTCTCCGAAGGTTCGTTCGTCTCCACGGCACGGCTCATGATTTCTGCCGGAATCGGGAGGCCCCAAATTGGGGGCGAACGTGAACGCTGTAACGGTACACTTAGTTTATAGAACCCCACGTCGGAGATGTTCTGTCTTGTGCATGTCTGCTTTGGGGATCTCCGCTTTGGAGGTGGTTTTGCTCCGCGTGTATAACTTCTGTGTCTACGAATGGGCTTTTGTTGTTTATGGCTGCTCTTGTGAGCTTCGTTTGCAATGTGTTTTGTCTCGTGTATGCGCTTGTTTTTGGGACGTTCATATTTCCTTTCGGCTCCGAGCCTTTTGATTGGCTCTATAGCATTGGTTGCCAAAGTGGACCCAAAATGCTGCTAAACTCGGTATAAGCAGCCAGGCCTTGAACATAGACTAGTTCAGTGTTGCGAGACCTACTGATTTCTCAGCAGATCTACGGATTTTGGACGCTGTCTGCTGATTCCCTGATAAAAAAAAAAAAAAAAAAAATCTACTGACGTTTTGTTTTTGATAAATAAAGAAAAAATATTTATGAGGGCGTAACAGTGCACAGTTTAAAGCGCCGGCTCTCTTATTAGCCGGCAAACTCATGTAAAATTATTAAAAACGAAGCTATACGTGTGGATCTACCAACGAGGTAGAAGGCCGTATCTCCGTATCCCTCGATTCATTCAGCTATCCACTCACAGCCGCACACAGGCAGTGCAGCCGCGTACGCGCCGTACTTAATTATGAAACAGATACGACTTAGTTTTTTCCTGGTTTCGTCCACGTACGATAAGGAGCGGCAACCGCACCCATCCGGCCGCCCCAAAAAAAAAAAAAAAATTATATAGGAAAGTGTACAACGTGGGAAAGTACTAAATGTAATCATTTCGCTTTCCGCAAGGGATGTGTGTGCAGATATGGCCGCTGAAAAATGCGAATTAAAAAAAAAAACACAACTAATTTTGTGTGTTTATTAGTACAATATTTATTGTTATATTATCTATTAAGAGCGGTCGGGAATGAAAAAGGTTTTTTTTTTTGTTTTTTTCTTTAGGATCTACTGATTTTTTGGGTGACCTTCTGATGTGTAGACGGTCCATCTACTCACTGACTTCGATTTTTCCCATCTGGCAACACTGGTCTAGTTAGCAGTAGCACGACTCCCACCTCAGTAAGTCTACAGGACTATCTCTTCCTTTCCAAACACCCTCTCTCTCTCTCTCAAATGTCCGATCCCCTTCCGGCTCGCCCGCCTTTGTCTGGATCCTTGTTGGTCGAGTTTGGCTGTGGTTGGGGCACCCGCTGGTGGTGTAAGCGAGGAGGACGGCAGGGAACGTTTCTCGGGGTTAGAAGTGTTCCCCCAAAGTGTCATTTCTTAAGTGTGGATTTTAAGACTTTATGCTAGTTGGTTATTAAATCGTTATTTGGACTAATCGAAAAAAAAAGTTAAAAGACTCCGTTTACTACGCGACGGTATTTTGGGAGCAAACTTTACCAATTTGGTTAATGTTCCAGATAACGTTGTTTTTTTTTATCGCACTAGTAGTTTCGATGTCATCATTTTGATTCTAAGGGAAGAGCTACAACCGGCGATCGGTTGTCCGAGCTAACCGTGTCGTGCAGTGTACGTGCGCGACGGTGTGTATATTACTCGCGCTCGGCTCACTCGGCCTTCTCCGGTGGTGTCGGGTTTCACGAGACTGGCTCGCTCGCACCTCGTCTCGTGTGAACATCGCAACGATCACTGCTCCGCTCCATCGACCTTGGTCTACGGTCTGACGTATAGACCCTCGGCCCGTTCGCTCTTGTCTAGTTCGACGGCACGCTTTAAAAACCCTTATTCTTTTGTTGTAGCGCGGAGGGTAAAGGGTGTGCATGAGAGAGCCCGGGCCCGGTTGCCGTACGCCGGGGACATAGCAACCCCGTGACCACGATTTTAGGGTTCTCCGGGGCCGAGAGCCCTGCCACGTGGCCACCGTGCACGTGGCGCAACTCTGGCAGTTTATTGGATCGGCATGCAAAAAAAAAAAACACAAAAACACGAGGGTCTATCTTTGAAGAAATACGGTAGTCAAGGTTGTTCCCGGTGCGACTGTCGATCGAAGGAGCAGCGAACTTTGATTCAACTCTGGTTTAACGCCACTAAAGAGGTGTCACGTTTAAAGCGAAAGTTTAGGCTTTCGTAATATTTGCAAGTGGTTGTTTTTGCAGTTTGTGACATTAAAGTGTTGAGTTTGGAGGGTTCATAAAACTTGGGGTGTGCATTTTAGTGACATACGCGTTAATGGATATGCTGGTTTCTGCTGGCATTTTTCCGAAGTTATATTTTCGGCCTAAGTAAACTAGTGATTGTGAAAAGGGGGAAAGGGAGGGGGGATTGAGGCTTTATGAGAACAGAAGTGTTGCGCTAGGATTAATTGTCCAACAATTTTTTTAGTACGCATTCTAAATAAAACCGACTCTGACCAGAGCCTTTTTTTTTTCTCTCTTTTAAGAAAGGTATGTGTTTGTTTTCCTCCCTTTTTATTTGTTTATTTTTTACAAAAGGTGATAACTAACATGCTCAAGTATCCGAGGAGGAATTATCAGTCATTATCACAAATGAACTCGTTTAGCGATGCAGTCGCTTTTATTTGTAAGTGATGCGCTAACAAACGTTGGCATCCGCTCCAAAAGCTTGAGCGTCTGTTCCAAATCCATAGTTTACCTGCTACAAAAGCTGCTTCAAAAGGGAAAATGCCACTTCCAGCACTGCACTCGGCAAGCGGAAGTTTTGTGAGTTTGAGATCTATATGAACATGCTTAATAAGTTCAATCGATTATGAGCAATAAAATGCTTCTGTCCAGCGAAATATTTTTCTGCAGAATCTGCGTTCTCTAAATGATTAGGGCGAAAAAAGAAATAGCAGGCAATTTTGTTTTTATAGAACAGAAAGTAGCTGAATTGGGACTCGCGAGTCAAATGTGGCTCTTCGCGGGTCCAAGTGCGGCTCGCGGCATCCCCCCACACACACATACAAAGAGGTGAATGAAGTTAAAAAGAAGAATGCCGCCCCCCCCCCCCCCCCCTCCCCCCAAGCCTGACCCATAAATACGCTCCTGAGCCGGAGAGATGATTTCACGTGCGAAGCGTACGTTTCCCAGCTGTATTTTGTTGACCTATTTGCCATGTCACCCAGCACTAAACATTTCTTAACAAAAAAGGTGGTGTATATCGTTTCTTTTCCATTAGATAAAGTTTACCTTGAGGGGGCTGGGGGGAAGGGGGGGGAGGGCGGTCGTTTCCTCCCCTCCTTAAATCTTCCCATGCTCTTCAGTTAAAACGGCTTTTTCTTATGAGCCTTCGCGGACGTCCGTCTGGCCAATTAGGAGCAGGAAGAACCCGCGAAAGTTGGTAACATGGGGACATGTCCCCACAATTGGAAAGCCTAAACCTTGACGCAGATGTTGAGTAAATAGTGAGTTGATGCCGTCTGATATTAGGTGTGTATGATTTCCTCTCAGGTGACGATGGTGGACCGGGACGCGGCGGAGCGCGCGGTGAAGGATGCCAACCCGATCATCGACGGCCGCAAGGCCAACGTGAACCTCGCCTACCTGGGGGCCAAGCCCAGGGCTAACGCACACAACGGTAAGCAAGCAGAAGTACTCGCTTTGGTGAACTGCGGATCCGGCGATTGAGTGTCTTGGGGACGTAGAAATTACTACACGTTGTCCTGTGTTCGCGAAGAAAATTGTCGTCTTCCGAGGGTGCCTCACTTTTCGGGTGAACATAGTATCGCGTACGTTAATAATAATAATTATGGTGATTTTATTCACGAAGATTGATAGAAAACATTCTGACCCAGAAAAGCCAAGACGCTTGTCTGTCATTGTTTCAGATACGTTCTTTCTTAGTGCAACAATCACCGCGTACCTCGGGATATAGACAGGTGCTCTTAAAGAGAAATCAACAACGCTGATAGTATTGCAACGAAGTAAACGGGGCCTTCTCATTTATTCTTTCGATTAGTCCATATTTATCGACCGGCACGAATATAACTCTTAGTATACGCTATATTCAAGAACAACAGCATGCGCAAGGCAGATTCGAAGCCATGGCCGCAAGAGCTGCCCTACAAAGGGCAAAACCACCCCCAAAGTGGAGATCTCAAATGCAGACACGTACGAGACAAGACAGCTCTGACGCTGGGCTCTATTCGTGCACAGTTAGAGAGTTCGCGTTCGCCCCCATTTGGGACCTCCCGACTCCGTTAGAAGCCATGAGCTGTGCCGTGGAGACCGGAGCCGTTTAGACCAGAGCCAGAACCAAACTCTCTCTATAGAGAGAGTTTGGTCAATGGGAGGAGCGAGCAGAGCCAGGGCGTGCAGAAGCCGAAAATAATCCCCTAGCGGTGGTAGCGAGAAACAGTTTTAATAAAAGCATAAGGGTTAAATGTAGTGACTCTTCATGGTTGAAAATATGGTTCACGGGATGTTTCGATTATGATCATGCAAAATTGTAGAGCCCATCCACTGCACGTCAAGATGGAGGACCAGCGGAGCTGTTTTCTTTGCGACAACTCTACAACTACATGACATCTATACGATTTGCATATGAATGCGACGAAGACACGTACACGACTTCGTTGTTTAATTGTTTTTGTTTAATTCTTAGTGACTAAAGTGATCATTGCCATATAGTAACTATGGTAAACCGCCTTTGGCTGTACTTTGACTTCAGATACGTTCCTGTTAAACGTGAGGTCGATGCACGTTCTGTTGTTAATCCTTGGTATACGACTATTTTAGGTTTTACAGCGACTTGGCTCTTTATGAGCGTTGTGATAAAGAGCCCATCTCTTTATCAGCATCGCATAAGCGAATGAAAAGAAGGTTAGATCGCCGCGTCCTGCTGTCAGCCTCGTGCAGCGCACTCTTAGCTGAGATAAGTCGGTTATCGTAGATGATAACGAGGGATCAGGACTTCACTATCTAATAATGCCAAGGAAGACTGACTCACGCGGGTTGCCCCCTCTTTTTATTTATACTTGCCACGTCCAATCGGACGTAAGAAACGAATGTGCCGTTCGAACTCTGTTTTGCTCGGACAGAGTGTGACCGCTCGGACGGCAGATTCCCGGCCTTCGCGCCTGCGCGTACGGATTATGTCCATCGTTCCGCTAGTCGCGCTCTTCCACTATGATCTTGGAAGACAGTGATTGAAACGTCACGTGCACCATACTTTCAGTCACCGAGAGTTATTCCGACGCACTTATTAATTTCGTTTCTCGCGACCACCGCCAGGGTGTTATTCCCGGCTTCTGGTTGGCCACATTCGAATTTGTGAAGACGCCTCGGAACTCGCCCAGGCCGCTTTCGGCCAATGGCGCCTCCTTATTTGCCTCCGATACTTCCCAATAAATGGCCAAAGTCTCTCTATTACGGCTCTGGTGGAGACGACCACGACCATGCAAATGCCAATAGACACGCGCGAATCCGCAGAGGAAGTATTGAATCATAAAGTGAAGCTAAATTAAACACGCGCGCAAGCACAACCTCGAGACACTGTTGGTCGATTCAAAATATTTTTTTTGATTAGGGAATACTTACAGAATTAATAGACCTGCGCCAGGGTTAAAAAAAAGGACATTTCCAAAAAAAGTAATGAATTAATTCTAAATAAAAAGCAAAGTAAGGGATGACAAGTAGCTTTGTTACTCGAACGGATTACTATTTCCATGTCTGTTCTCGCGAAGCACCTATGACAGAGCAAAAAGGCATACACTTAACAGGCCACGTTCTGCGTTTTCATTGAAGTCGGCTCGCTGTTCGGTTATTATGCGTTGTTCGGTTATTTCATACGTACCGCTATCGCGGAGAGGGAGTGATCGCATATTTCGGACGCGTTGCAGGATCGTATATTGAAACGCCCCCCTGCACTCCATCTCGCAAATGTCTGCAGTGCGGACAAAGACACACGAGCGCTTGCGCCGGGCTCGACAGAATGCGTTTGTTTACTCGCTGGCGGAAGGCACTTTCCGAAATCGCATGCATGCCGCTCGTTCGCGACGCCTCGCGATGTTACCATGCGCGAGGCTTTCCCCTGTCACGTTTCGAAGGTGCGGGGGAGGGAAGCACCATATATTTCGCGGGTCTCGAAAACCGCGCAATAGACCCTTTCCGAAATTCAGTCTGGCCACTTTGATCACCATCATCGTCGGAAAAATGGCATATGTGCCGTACTAATGGCGGCTTTCTGTTTACTGATGAACGAAAAAGTTGAAGATGCTCCTTAGCAGATAATTCGAGACTTATACATTCGCGACGTCAGCACGATGCGAAGCAGGAATTGGAAGCAAGGTTTGCGTAAGCGTTCATTTCTAGCTCGGGCCCAGCCAATCTGTTGGTAGCATCAATGGGCTCCATGCAAAGCCCCTTGATTTGTAGAACTTTATCAAGCCGTGTACGTGGGTTGACGCTTCGTTCTGACTGGTTGCATCTTTGTTTCTGTCGTCACTGAAAGAGATTGAGAACGAAATGTACTGTGAAGTGCACACTGTCGTTTGCCGTTGACTTGCCAAAGTGACGGTGCCCGATAAAATACGGCAGACTCTATTTTCGTTGCCGCCATTAGTACGGCAAAAGTTAAACTGCCATTATAGCCGCCAGATGTCACTGAATTTCGGGAAGGGTCTATTCCAGTCAATGTATACCCAAGTTTGAAAAGTCGAATTGAAGCGTATATGAAGTGAAAACTTGAAACACTTTACATCTTCGCAGGCATTGCGGCGTGCTTGTCGCGCTAAAGCGTGGCAACAGCCTTTTTGTTTTGATTTTGTTTTTCGTTTTGCTTCGGAACAAATTTGTTTATTTGCGGACTTTATGACGGAGTGACGCGAGCACATTTCGAGCTGAATTGGCTACAGCCGTGAGTTTTGTGCGTCGCACCGTCTCGGTATATGCCGCTATCGCGGAGAGAGCTGGTACTGTTGTTCAGCTTCTTGCTTCGAAACGTATTTATTTAACGACCAAAGAAGTGGGCACCACATGCGCCCTGTTGTTTGGTCAATGTTCAGCTTCGATAGACCCTTTTTCGAGAGCCCATCGAGCAACATTGGCAGTCGCCATTGCCTGAACACGAAGCGCGTGATTGGGTCCGGGTCCTCGTCGAGCGCTGACGTCACACTCGTTTTTCGACACGAGTTGAGCCGAGTTCACGCCGACTGCTGACGCAGCCCTCGTGTCCTACACATGCTCGAGAGTTCGTGATGGAGCGATGGCGGACGGGCGATGGCGTGGACTTTTGAAAAGGGTCTATATACCTGTAGAGGTTGTCGCGATACGTCACGATATCGACGATACGTGCTAAACCTAGCGTTTTTTTCCACCACGGGCGGGGCTGTGCCTCTCCCACGGCGAGTCATTGCCGGAGGGTCGTTCCTCTCACTCGAGGCAGGGGGCCTCCAAGCACTCAAATCTACGCGGGCGCTCGGGGCCACCGGAGTGCTGCTATCGACGGCTGGCGCGCCATTTCGTAAACTGGGCTGTGTCTCGAGCACGAACGACTTCGTCGAAAACCTCGAGTCATGTTCCAGTGGTTTGTGACGTTGGCTGGAGGGGCACCGGGCGCAACTGGTGCGTACGCGCCGGTGTGGACCCAGCATCGTGGTAGTCTCCGCGAAACGGCTTCCCCGGACCCCCATATGTGTCTGGCGCGCCTTTCGTTTACTTCGAGGCTCCTGTCCGCGCTCTGTGGTGATGAAACGTTTGCTAGTGAGGCACGTTTCGACGGTTCTCGCCGAAACCGAGAATGAGTATATACTTTCCCTTGAACATAAATATGTCGGGGGTTTACACTCTCAACCGCTGGGCCCGATCTTAATGCACCCCATCGGAAACAGCAATGGCCTCTCGTTCGATTTATTGACAGTGCGTCGGGGCCTGTACCCAATGGAATTGTAACTAGAAGCTGATTGGATGGGACAGGTTTGGGCGCACCGTAATAACTTCCGACCGGACGGAGGGAGACGCGAGCTCCGGGCACCCGTAGCTCAGGCAAACGCGCGTTAGTGTGTGAAGGCACTCTACTGGGGCCTGCCGGTACCGAGAGATACGCTCCTCAGCTAGTACAGCCTGTACACTTACTGTACCAGGACCCTGACCGCAGCGCCTCTTGTCGTCATGAGGCGGCGGCTCGTGAAATTACGCAAGAATGCAGAGCGCTCGGTACGCCTATCTCTACACCCAGTGCAATGTTATTTTGTTCTCTTTTATGAGTTGTGGCGTTTTGTAGCATTCTACGCTATCCTAGTGGGCTTAGGTTGAGAGTGTTTGCAACCGCAGTAGAAGTGCAAGGAGGAGTCGAAAGCGTTGGTCGTCTACGAGAGCACCCGCTTTCCTTTTGGCCCTGCGACAACGCAATTGACGCATGCGCACTCGCGACCAATCTGCGCAGGAGTCATCCGCCATTACACGTTTGCAACCGCTTTCCATGCTTTGAGTTGCTCGCTCTCTTAAATATAGGCTATCCCTCTCTCTTTCGTCGTCTCTATCTCGTCACCGCGGAACGTTGGCTCGTCCGAGGCGCCGTTGGCTGCTGCCCTCGGTTCACTTTCGGCCTCCTGGCTTCGTCTGCATCCGAGGCAGCAC